CAATAAACATAGAGAAACACGCAATGTGATTACATGAAGGTTTTATATTATGTTTCTTTTTTATTTTAAATAGTTTTCTAATTACAAAATATTATTAGTGTGTTGGCACTATGCTACAAGCCGGGAGGTCGTGGGTTCGGTTCAAGATGAGGTCACTGAATTTTTCGATTGACCTAATCCTTCCAGCCTCACTATTGCCCTGTGGTCGATTCAGTCACTAACAGTAATGGTAAAGATAAAAAAGGTAAAGCTATCATTGTTAACAGGCCGTGAAGGCCCATAGGGCTGTGAGACGTCGAGGCTTCCACATTTTCTAGACAATCGGCTCACAGACGGCGGCGAGGTTGTCAGCCTTATGTTCCGGCCGCCCTTTAGCCCCAGGAAGATACCTGGTACTCATTTCTGTTAGAGACTTAGTCGAACCCAGGACCGTAGTGCTGCTGGAAGGATCAGGTAAATTGAAAAAAAAATCCAATGCCATCGAGAATCGAACCAGCGACCTTCCGACTCGTAGCATAGTGCCTCAAACAACTACGCTACCGCGTGCCACCTCTAGCAGAAATGAATACCAGGAATCTTCCTGGGGGTAAAGGGCGGCCGGGGCGTAAGGCTGACCTCATCGTCATGTGTGAGCCGATTGTCTAGATGTGGAAGCCTCGACTTCTCACAACCCTATGGGGCTCCACGACCTGTTACAGGAATAGCTTTACTTTTTTATTATTATCAATGCCTCAGCATCTCCAAATTTCACAATTCTAAGCAATAAAATTTTGTCTTTTACATTCGGGCGCGCTACAACGAGGGTTTACTGTATTACTACGTTAAAAAATTATGCAGACAGGAAATAGACGTCATAGAAAGCGATAAAAATACAAATGTTCGCAACACAAGACACGGCGGAGTCCGTCTCAGAAAATGCAAGTGACTTAAAGATGGCGGCAGTCAGGCACGGCGCTGTTCATGTGGCTACTTCATCGTTACAGCATAACCTCAGCAAGATGGCATAATTTGCGCTACACAGCCTGGATTCATACCTCCATTCCCCAATTCATCTTCATAGTGTGGTACTTAATTAAGCACAGGGACAACTTTAACAAATACACGATATCATGTCCCAGAAGACATCGATCTTCATATTGTGCTAGGGAGTGTGACATTATCTTCCCTGGGTCCTGTGATTGCAGTCAGTCAACTTGCCTGAAGGAGCTCTGCGTGCATACAGAGAAGCACAGTGAAGTAACGTTTGTTGAAGTGAACTATGTCGTCTCGTTTGGCCAATTATGGACACGAAACAACAGAGGGAGTAACAAAACAACAGGTGTCATTGTCACTGTTAATTTCAGTAACCCTTTCCATGCTGAACTTTGTTTAACCAACCATCTTTTATCACTGTTACAACGGTAACGCACAATAGCAGTTACTAAAAGCCATACACCGCTGCAACTGTCGGAAGAGAGGATTAAACATTACATTCATTGATCTCAAATATTCAAACGATTCTAGGTTTTAAGGGCCAGGGCTTTTAAACGAGATATCTCGTCAGTAGCACTGAACAGGTCGATATCAACATTCGGTTTCCTTAGCCAAGGATCCAGAGTTGCGACATACTGGAAGCAGTAAACCTCTGATTTTGTATTAAGAATGTACACGAATCGAACATAGATGAGGCTACCGGTTATTGTAAATGAAGTGTATTCGTAGCGTTTCCTCAGGAAATTTCGGGACAACGCCCTGAAATAGGCAACGACTCTTATCCTTCAAGTTCCTTTTCTGTTATAATATCTTTCGATGCTATAGGCTACAAATTCTACAGTTAAAACTGCGTTGTTATAATTCATAATCATCTGTCATTCAACAATGTCTGACCGACCTAGTTCAGAATCCGTAAAGAACAAGTTCTCTCAAGCAGTATATTTTTATTGTTAGTGGGGTGGGACTAAGTCCCTAGTACTGCGGCCACTTCTGGAGTATTGTACCAGCCCCAGATGATAAGCGAGGGTGATTGTGGAGCAATTGGTAGAATGAAGATTGGCAGGGGAAACTGAAGTACTCGGAGAAAACCTACCCCAGCGCCACTTTGTTCACCACAAATCCCATTTGACCAGACCCCGGGATCGAACCCGGGCCGCCGCGGTGGGAAGCCAGCGACTAACCGCTTGACCTATGGCGCGGCCCTTTCACGCAGTAATTCCACTCATTTCTAGTCGGGAGGTGATCGGTTCGTGTCTTGGTCGGGACATCAACTGTAGTTTTATGTGGTTTTTACCGTTCCTCTAGGCAAATGGCAGGACAGTTCGTTGAAGAAACGAGGAATATTTTCATCTACACCCTTTTTAATTCGTCATTCACTGATCATCCTTCTGTGCTGTAGTTTATAGTCTGGGTTGTGACATTGTCACATAGAACATGAATAAGTAAACATTTCTGTGTAGTTACGGTGTTCGGAAAACCGTAAGTCCAAGTAAGTGGCTTATACTGATGCTTGGGGTCTAACAGTCATATACAGGGTGATTCTAAATTTTTGTCTGGATTTTTATGGCGTATAATGTTCAAACCGGAAAACCGAAAAAAAAACTGTTGAAGGAATATTAAAGCGCAACCCAAATAATTTTATTTAGCAATGATTTAACTTTCTGAGTTGCGTTTTCATATTCTGTAAGTAGTTATATTTTGTTGTTCCCGGTTTGAAAATTATAGGCCACAGAAACTGTGACAATAATTTAGAATCACTCTGTACATGTGTACATTCACATAGCTCGAAATTATTTCATAACGAAACAAGACCCAAATAATAGGATATCTTACTTAACTGTGGAAATACATTGTCTTGCAGTGATGCATTATTGATTGTGCCTTCGCATGAGGAAGTTTAGTAGAGCTGTAAGCTGGGCTTTCCGAAAACACGGACGCACAGAAGTGTGGACAACTTCCACATTGATAAGGCAAGAATAGAAATACACTGATTTAAAACGTGGTTATATCGTGCAAAAACCACTTGACCATCCAGCATCGAGATAGCTTTCATTTGACGATGCAACCAGCAGCGCAGGCTGTATACTGCCGAAAGGTAGGTTTGGCAGGAAATGACGTCACCTAACCGAGAAACATTCCCTGCATTTGCAAGACAAGACCGAGGATAACCATGGAGGACCTCAGTCAGGGAGATCTGAGGCTCTTACGGCGGTGATACTGAAGAGTACTAACTTTTGGGAAAAGTCGGGATAGCGCAGTCGGCATGGCTGGAAGACAAAGGAGTTGGAGTTCGAGTCCCGGTATGGTCAAGAATTTTCTCTTCTCCATGTCATCCAGGCTGGTTCTGGGACCCACCCGGCCTCCTACCCAATGGGTACCGGGGCCACTTTCCTCGGGGGTAAAGCGGCCGGGGCTTGAAACTACACCACTCACCTCCAGCTACGAGTACATCTAAAGTCAAGAAAACGTGGACCTATCATCCACTCCCCCATACGTCTTCATGGCGTAGTACTTAATTAGTTAAGCACAAGGACAACTTTACCGTTTATTAAGTTTTGGGATGTAGAGTCGTGTAGTTCGGTAGAAGTTTTACAGACGTTTCGGAGGAACGTACTGTCTCCACTTTCGGGGTTCAAGAGTATGCCAAGCAAAGGAAGCAGCAACAAGCACGAAATTCTCTGGCTGCTTGCCTCTCTCTTCCATCAAGAAAAATGTAGGAAGAAACTTCCTCCGAAACGTCGGCAACGTTGTCAAAGATTACATGGCATCACACCTCAGAATACAGCAATCTCCTCCGCCCCGAGAGCCTCAAATCTCACATTACCTGCAATATTTCCGAATATAATAAAATTCGTGATTTTGTGAACATGGTGATGAAAATGCTTTAAAAATAGGAGTGAATATCTTAATCAGCCGAATAACTAATAATAACTGAATAACTAATTGGGGATTTTGTTACATATTTAATCAGTAGCGAGCAAGTTAGTGCTTGAGTGAACTGAGCTTAAAAACTGCCATATGAAAATCGGGAGCCATGAAAATAATATTGAACGAGTCCCGAGTACATAAATAAATACATAAACATAAGCCTGCAAATTGCAGCGCTCTTGATCAAGAGAGTATTTGCTGGTGAGATTTCTGCCACTGGTGATGTACTTTCATTCCGTTACCAGAGAGTTAGTAAACTCATTGGCACACGCTATGAATACCCACTGCACATAACATTATGAATTTATTATTATTATTATTAACACAAATTACGGAGTAATTCACTCCGACGGGACCCCGAATTATTAATTATAAATCACGCAATAATTTACCGTTGCAAATCAAACTCGACGAGTCAATACCCAGGTAGATGTGGAGCTAATTGGGTTACAGAATATTAGTTTACCTCCACCTGGAAACACAGGCCGAAACGCCGCTCCATTTTAGAGAATTTTGCCGCCACCCTGGCAGGAGGGATCGTGGAGTGAAGGAAATGGCACGAACCGGGCAGGCAGGTACCAGATCCGCGTTGAAGAGTCTATATAACGTCGCCAAGTTTCATTTTCATCGGCAAGCTACTAAATGACATATAATTATTAATTTGGGGCCTCATCTGAGTGAATCACCTACATTTCGACTTATGTCCGGTGACATTTGATAGCCATCAAAGTAAACAACGCAACACGAAAACGTAAACCTCTCAGAGCAGTTACAGCCGGAGAGTGGGTTAGTTTAAAGATATATGGAAAACAATCCGAGGCGGATGGAACACTCTCACTGACTGAAAGGAGGCTATAACCGTGTTCCTTTCAGACACAGCTAATGTGTCAGAGCATATCTTTCGTAGAAAAGACTCCCCACGAACTATCACAAACTTACACGAAAAAAAAAAGAAAAAAGAATTGAATCCTGGGGGAAGTAATTGTGTTGGTATTAAATGAATTATTGGTGCAGGTTCAACATAACCGAGCAGAGGCGAGTAGAAATACTGAGAGACGAACGTGAGTTTAAATACGTACATTACAAAAGTTCATCTACGAATGACACTAACAGATTTTATTTCTCAGGATGTGATGTTATTACTATTGGTTGTTACGTTACGGAATACCGAGCCCCGTCTACAGGACCAGTCCGTCACAGACAGGACGGAATCTCACGTGCAGAACCAGCTGTTGAAATGCATCGCAACTACCGCCGACAGATACTTCGAGGCAGGAACTACTGTGGTGACATCACTACCTAGCGAGGGTCACATGGAAGCTCAACGGGACTGTTCACCGTTCACACATGGTATAACACTCTTATTACAAGAGCTCCATGGAAAGCTGAAGTGGCCAGTTATCACGTCACAAGGCAGCGCCAGTCAGCGTTATTACCACAAGAGGTATAACTACATCCTCTGGGCTTCCGATACTGTCAGAAAGCAGCTGGAAGGTCTATCATTTGGAAAAATCTTGAATCCTAGAGGTCGTTTCATTGTTGTACTGAACACAATTCATACAAANTGTATAACACTCTTGTTACAAGAGCTCCATGGAAAGCTGAAGTGGCCAGTTATCACGTCGCAAGGCAGCGCCAGTCAGCGTTATTACCACAAGAGGTACAACTACATCCTCTGGACTTCCGATACTGTCAGAAAGCAGCTGGAAGGTCTATCATTTGGAAAATTCTTGAATCCTAGAGGTCGTTTCATTGTTGTACTGAACACAATTCATACAAATCCGCGACAACGTGTGCGTTTTATCCTGAAGGAACTGAAGAAGAAGAAGATTCTGAATGCAATAGTATTGGTCTCAGCCAATAGAACTCAGCATACACTAGACATATATTCTTGGTTCCCATACAAACCTCCAACAGGCAATTGTGGAAAAATACGTGCCGTGGACCTTATGGAGCAATGGATAATGCATAAAGGTGGATATTTCTCAAGGACTGTCTCTCTGTTTCCAACAAAAATCCCGCGTGATCTAAGAAAATGTCCTCTGGCTGTGACTACATTTCCTTTTCCACCATTTACCATTCCTGGACGTCATGCGAACCTGCCCTATGAAGGCGGCTTTGAAATCCGTCTCCTAGAATTCATGGCTGACGCAATGAACTTCTCACTCATGTACAGGTCCCCTCCGCCTGGGCTGTGGGGACGCAAACTTGAAAACGGTTCCTGGACAGGAATGTGCAGCGACTTGAAGCGGGGCAGGGCAGACATTGGGCTGGCTGGGACTGTATTGGAAAAGGACGTAATAATCCATCTGGACTTCACTGAGAGTCATGGTTCACTAGGCTTCAAGTGGGTTGTGCCGTGTGCCAGATCTTACCCTCGATGGAAAAGCATAACGAGAGTGTACTCGCTGGCAGCCTGGCTATTCATTTTCGTGACCATTCTACTTGCTGCTATTGTATTGTCGTGCCTGGCGAAGGACGGGGATCAGGAAGTATCAGAGTACAAGACGCTGACTGGATGCTTGCTCTGCAGCTGGGCAGTGGTCCTCAGTGTTTCCGCAGGTTCAGTTCCTATCTCTGCATCTGTGAGATCTTTTTTTATCCTTTGGGTCTGGTATAGCCTAGCGATCAATACCTTGTTCCAGACATTCGTCACGAGCTACCTCATTGATCCAGGACTTCAAAAGCAGATGGAAAGTGTAAAAGACGTTTTGGAGTCTGGTGTTCAGTATGGGTTTCACCCAGATTTGAATGACAAATTGTTGGATGAATCGGATGAATTGATTACAGATATTATCCGTCACAGAGAGCCTTGTAATGATGTTGAACTTTGCACCGAGAGAGTTGCAGAACGTGGTGATTTCGTGACAATTAGTAATCATCACAGGATTCAATATCTTAACACTTATAAGCACCTGGATGACAATGGGAAACCACTTCTATGTACATTTGGTGAAAATGTTATCCTTAGTTTCAAGACATTTTACCTACCCCAGGGAAGCCCACTGTTAGATCACTTTAACCGTGCTGTGAGGGCAGCAATGCTGGCCGGCTTGGTGGAACATTGGTGGCAAAGTGAACTGGTCATCTCAAGGATTAAAGCTGGGTCAATAAGAACAATTTCTCCACTCGACAACTACTCCGTAATAATCTTGACGTATCTACAATCAGCCTTCTACCTTCTTGTCCTCGGATACGGAGTTTCCTTGCTCGTCTTTGCAGGCGAACTGTTTCGTCGCAGTTTCTTGGTTCGCAGTGGACGCCGGAAATGAACTGTGAGCTTCGTCAAGCTAACTCCAGGCTACTGGTATTTATGATGCTACATCTAAGCCCACTGACACCTTGCTTTCGTCGATCTGTCTAACTATAGTTCCTTTATTGTGAGTCCTCCCACATTAATGTCGTCGTGTTTAGGTTTTTTTTTTTGCCAGTACAGGTCTGCTTGAAGAACCTAAACCTGTTATGCTGTCCTCTGTCTGACAGTATTCGACTGGATGTTTTATAGTCTTGGTTTCTTACTTGTCTTAATTTGTCACCTTCTCTTGGTCCTTCTTCTATTTTCACGGTATTTCACGGTATTTAGGGAGGACAGTAACAAACAAAAATTTGATTCAGGACGAAATTAAGGGGAGATTCAATTCGGATACTTGCTACCATTCAGTCCAGAATATTCTATCTTCTCGTCTGCAGTCTAAAAACGTAAAAATTAGAATTTACAAAATCATAATTTTGCCGGTGGTCTGTATGGGTGTGAAACTTGGTCTCTGATATTAAGGGAGGAACATTGACTGAGGGTGTTTGAGAACAGGGTGCTGTGGAGAATATTTGGACCGAAGAGAGATGAACTGACAGGAGGTTGGAGAAAACTTCATAATGAGGAGCTTCAAAACTTATACTCTCCAAGTATAATTAGGATGATCAAGTCAAGGAGGATTAGATGGACAGGGCATGTAGCATGAATGATGGGCGAAGAGGAATGCATATAGTACATTCGTGGGAAAGCCAGAAGAGACCACTAGGAAGACCAAGACGTAGGTGGGTGGATAATATTAAAATGGATCTTAGATACAGACGATGGGGTAGTATGGACTTGGCTTCATATGGTTCAGGATAGGGACCAGTGGAACACGGTAATAAACCTTTGGGTTCCATAAAATGTTGTGAAGTTCTTGAGTAGCTGCATAACTGGCGGCTTCTTGAGTGTTCAGCCCGGTGAAGTTAGTTAGGTAGCTATTCGCGGTATAATACTACACTCCACTTTCTTTAAGTGCCGAAATGACTTCAGCGATCTCTTGACTTCTATTTGGTCCATCCCGAGCAGAGACCGAGATGAATGACACCATGAATACTTATGCGAAAGCTGAAAACTGAGTTTTATCACGTGATAAGTATGGTGTCTGTGGTGAGAGCTGACTTTTCCCTGAGATGTACAGGATCAAATTTGTAACATTACAATGTAACCAACCACAGTTTCATACTAAGTTGGCATATGATCTGCTTGCAGTTCTTCTGTCCCATATATTGTAGCTATGGGAGTGGATGCTGAACGAAGGAAGCAAAAAAGATGAAACCATGACAACAGCCACTGAAATGATATTCATAAGAAAAAAGACTAAACACACCAGATGGAACATAAGAGACATGAATAGAGGTGAAAATAATTACAAACCGGACCCACATGGGGCAAAATTCCAAAGTATGAAGTGAGTTGGATTCAGCACACCGACAGACTGAGAAGGTGCAGACATCAGCACCAGGGAAGACCTCTGCAGGAAGAGCTGGACAGATGGGGCCAGCACGAGCCAACAAGTGTCTGAATGCTAAAAGATGTTGATCATGTAATTGGTGATTAGTATTTAGGATTCATGTTTATATAGTACGTTGTGTGTTTACATATATTTTTCAAAACAGTCACCTCTGTGAACCAAGCAACGTCAAAGGAAGACAATAAGCCGGAATATTACAAAGTAGCCATTCGAAGGAAGTCAAATTCGATAGAAACTGGCCAAGTAAGAAGCTGCAGACAGGGGCAAGGCGGTGGGTAGAAAGTATCCACAAGGGAAGCTGGTACATTTCGGCCTGGCCATCCAATTTATATCCATCTACAATAAACATCATCATCCCTGAAGTGTAGAGGAATCCTGCTATGTACTGAGGAATACTGTTATATGACAACAGCTGTGAAGGTGCATGGTTTCATTATGTTGCAATTGTGTTATATTCCTGCGGACATAATGGTACACGTATATTCAGATTTGTATACATGTAATAAACTTCTTGGAGGCCTGTGGTATAGATGCAGTATAGTTTTGACATTAATTGTTCAGCCAGCGCCTCATCTTACAGTGTATTTTGTCCATTCTGTGTGGAATATAGATATAGAGTTGCAATCTATTGTTGTTAAGTCAAGATTAAATGCTTACTTTAAGAAATTCATTGCTCTTCTCATGCCTTTTATTACTGTATTACAGTTTCTACACACTGACTGTGGTCATTCAGCCACGAGTCAGTTAACTCACAATTCAAGATTTCTGATCTTACCTCAGCAAGTTTTGCTTCACAAGATTTCATAATTCTGCCTCAAAGGTATACTGATATATCTGAAGGTGCAGGATTATTAATATGGGAGAAAGTGAACGCAGAAACATTACGAGATAACAAGAGTACTATCTTCATGGATGTGAAGCCATGCAGTCTGGTACATATTTAACAACATTTTGAAGGAATGTACTGCTTCCATCTTCATGGTCAAAGAATAGGACAAGCAAGCAATGATCACTCTGCTTACTTGGCTCAGTCTTTGATGCTGAAGATGGAGGCAGTGCATTCCTCTGAAATGTTGGCAGACTTCCACCAGACTACATAGCATCACATCCGTGAAGATTGTACACTCACAGCTGTGAGAGCTTCAAATCTAACATTACGAGATAAAATTTGTAAAATTAAGTAGTCAGCAATATAGATATGTTATACAGGGTAATTCGTTCAGAGGAACCAATTAATCATAAATCACACATCAACTTACTGATTAACATGAAACATGGCAGCACAATGTACTTTAAACAATGACCTAGTGTCAGCTTGCCCAGTTTGTTCCAATTCATTCCATCTGTGAACCCTCTTGCCATGCTAGCTGCAACACTTGTGAACATGGAAGTGCTGTTTGAGCTTCTGTGTCCTGGCTGGAGGAAAACCAATTTCAGCATTTTTTATTACCCAATTTTCTCCTCATCTACTATGGTACTTACTCACTGAGTTTATTTTTCATCATGTTGTATTTAAGCATCCTCGTTTGCTGACAAGCAGTGGTCGCTCATTTGGTATAGTTCACTTGCAGACTAAAAACCATGGAGTCAGTTGCATTAATATTCTCTTCAATGGTAAATTAATAATTTCGGGTGCCCTCCTAGTGAATCATCCTGCATACAGATGGAAATATGATATATTTGAAGGGTTCAGATGTCAGATGAACTCCTACTGGATATGCAATTGACAAGATTTACAGACTGACAAAGAACACTTGCTAACGCAGATAGTGGAATTAGATGAAAAAAGAGCCCATATGGAAGGATAGAGCAAAATGGAGAAAGTATTGTTAAAAGATGACTTCAATGGTGATATTAAAACAATCTTTTTATTCTTAATGAGAACAGGTATATAATAATGTATCGTGTTTGGAGTAGATACTTCCAGGGTAATACAATTACAGTGGGCCATTGTGTAGACAATGCTGAAACAACGAATGCGTTTCCCCAGAGATGAACAACATAAGGCCGTTGAGTAACAACGGATGAGACGAAACACGTTACCGCTGTAATCTATAGGGAGTGTTCCTGAAGCAACAGATTGCCGAAAACGTGAGATCGAACTTTGGCGAAGGGTGTCCTCTACTGAGTCCGCACTATCCCTATATAAGCTGAGAGCAACAGAGCTACAGCATCACAGAGCTAATTAGCCTTCATACAATGCAGATGGAACCTAGCCTTCATACAAAGCAGTTGGAACCTAGCCTTCATACAAAGCAGTTGGAACCGAGCCTTCATACAACACAGTTGGAACCTAGTCGAGACATCGCAGAAGTCACATGATACCACAAACAATAATAACTGTATGGTGTATAAGTGTGAGTGTCCAATAAAGAGCTGCTAAATCTGAGACCCACGTGAAGTTATGTGTCGTGTGACATACCCAACATGTGACAATATTGATTGTCAATAACATTTCTGTTGTTTGCATTGTGTGTCCATGGCCATGGTCCTCTATTTGCAACCTAAACATGATAAGGATTGTGATTCTCTGCACATCCTGACAACTATAAGGTTTTGTACCCAACATACTGGAAGGCTCTTCCATCTACAGGAATTTCATAGCAACTTCTAATTCATACGACCACATAATTCAAAACTTTTGGGATGATGGCACACAATAATTCTTGGGCATTAATAGATGTTATGCCACCAGTTATTCCGTGGGGACAGGGGGGGCGTGGAGGTATCCCCGCTGTCACCTTCTGTACTGCAGTCACAGGGCTAGGGCTAAGGAAACGACTAAATAGCTTCCTCTCTCGTTCCTTCATTGGCTAGGGGCACACTGTTCACCGGGCTTGGCAGGAGGGCGCAGGTGCGAAATGTGGTAAGGGGGGAAATCACAACAGAAACCCACATCCTCACCCTATGCTACACTATATTAGTATAAACACAATCAATATACAGTTATACGCATTTTGGTACTATCACAATGAAAGAGCCGACTGGTGTCGGGTTACACATTACACTTGGCTACCTCTGTATCTCTCAGTTGGATCACTCTTACGCCCTGTACACTTTTGTAACGTTCCTAACTCAAGTCCCATTGGAGGAGTTACACTTTAATAATATTACAATTATTAAACATGGCGATAAGAGTAGTTCCTCTTACTTGTTGAGTCTGCAGACGGGTGGTGCGGCCCGGCGCTTAGCCGGTGCTTCTCCTAGCATAGCCTCTGGCGACAACTGCCCAAAATTACTGTTTGAATAATCCCCTTACTAATTTGGTCTCTGGTTTATATACCTTTATTTATGCTAACTCATTATTTTCCCGGGGTTGCAGTTCCGCCTCCAATTACGTCTTATCCCAAGGTGGGTGATCTTGTTGGCTGGGATCCTAAGGGGACACACACCCTTCTACTGCTAGACCCTTTGGCTAGCACTTTTACCTGCAACGTTCCCCCCATCTTGCTCAAGTGTAGCTTCTGCAAAGTTAGCATTTCGAGGTACCTTCCATGTCATTCTGCTGACTGGACATTCCCGCGTGGCAAGCCAATGTCCGTCTAAGTCCATACGCAGAAATTCCTTTAAGCTGTTTAACCTTCTTACATCCGCTTTCGTACATCTTACAAGTATTTCCCAAGACTAAATCTATTCCAACCAATATTTTTCCCTAAAATACAAAAAGTTAATACTCTGTTAACATATTACCGGGAGTTGGCCTTCACTCCACAACAATAGACAACAGACCTATAGAAAAACCATTCTAGTAGCAAAGATGGCTTCCAGCAGTATGAGTATGAAACAAAAACTATTCATTTACATAACGTGAATTTTTAAATGTAATATTGAATAAAATGCTGCAAGGCTGAATAAAAATTTGCGATAAATAGTATTCCCACAGTTATGTTTACTTCTCATATTTCCATTCTGTCATGTCATATGGGATAACTCTTCTCATGCTGAAAGAGTATTCAAGCTACAAAAGAGAGCTGTAAGAATAATGAAAGGATGTGGTTTTAGAGATTCATGCAGAGAACATTTTAAAGATATGTATATATTTCCATTAAGATCACAATACACATACTCCTTGATGATGTTTATTGTAAAAAACAGAGAAATATTTGATACAAACAAAGCTCACTATGAAATTAATACCAGACACATTATGGACATACACATGACCCAAGTAAATTTGGCGATATATGGAAATGGGGTGTATCATATGGCGGTAAGGATTTATAATGCACTTCCCAACTCACTTAAGCTAATTTCAAAGGATATAAAAAAGTTTAAAGACAAATTAAAGGAACTTTTGTATTTTAATTCTTTTTATACATTGGATGAATTTTTTATGAGATGATGTTTTATGGTTATAATATATAATTATTTAAGCAATATGGTAGTTGGATTAAAGCTTTTTTAGTAAGAAACTTAAACTATCTGACAGAACATATTTTATGTGATTAAGCCTTTTTAAATTGTACATATTGTGATGTGTTGTGTCATGGAGGACACCCCTCCCTCCCCCCCGCAGTGACGTGGCAGCTCTGGCCATGGTGACGT